ATAATTTTTTGAAGAATATGTATTAACTTGGGAAATGTTCATCATATATTAAATGAAACAAGCCACTTATAAAACAGTGTTACAGCATTTTAGCTCAGTAAAATACCTACAATATGAATGTGCTCTTCAGTGTTGGGCTAAGACTAGACAGACATATACTAACATGTTATCATACAAAGCAAAGATAATCTCTGGGCAATGATATCAGGGGCAATTTTAACATATGGATATATTTCCATATTTTCAAAATTCCTATAGTAAACCTGCATTCCTACAGATGACTTACCATCATTGGTGATACCCAAGATAAGCAGCTGGAAGCAGACCCAAGAAAAGATGATGGCAAAGATCCCACTGTATTCAATTAATATGAAGTAAAACTTTCTAAAACAATGTTTCTCTATGTCTCTATAGCTTTATCCACACTTACTCGAAAGAGAAAATAGATATTGTCATTTAGTGAGCACTTGATTGGAACCAGACATTACGTAAAAAACATTATACACATGGTTTCCATAATCCTCACTGCAACCATATAAAGTAGAAATGATTATTATTCCTATTTTACAGGCAAAGGAACTGAGGTTAGGAAACAAATGTGACTTGCCCAAGGTCACTCTATTAGTAAATAGGTACAGCTGAGATTCTACTCACGAGCTCATTAGTGTATCTAATTTCCCAGTCTATGATGTTGATAACTATATTGGACTTATTAATTTATAAACACACTTCATATTTTTTATGAAAAGATCCAGGCCACAAAAACAATTTTGATCATAGTAACATGTAGACTTGTCCATACATGCCAATGGATTTAAGGGTTTTGGAGGAGTAGAATGCTATCAAAAACATAAATAATCAGCATGAGAAGAATGAATACTCTATACTTCATTGACTTTTGCTTGGAAGATAGAGACTAAGCCCTCTTGTTTGAACCAACCACACCAAAATCAGACAATCTTGTTCTGATACAAAAATATCATGGTTACATGGCTCAATTTCTCACAGAAACATAGGGCCAGATGCCATTAACTCCTCTGCCAGCACAGCTAATGCATTGTGCCTTGTGTTTTGCATCCAAATCCTGAAGGCAGTTCTATTTCTAGATCATTAGAGATAAAAATGAAGTGGAAAAAAAATAGACAGTTCTATTAAGTTATTAAGTATGAAATGTCCTATTTCCTTAAGTACTAAGTTTGACAGTTGATATTTCTGACATTTCACTTTGACACTTCTTGTTTTATGTTTAATTGTGAAGGTACACCCTCAGTCTTGCAAACACATGTTTTGGCTTGTGATTATCTTTCAAAATTTTTTAGAACAATTTTTGTGAAACCATGGATAAGTGAAAAATTCATGTTATTTTTGAATATAAGTTCCGTCATGGAATCAATGCAGGACACACAGCTCAAAATATCAACAAAGTGTTTGGGAAGAATGTGGCTAATGAACACACAGTATGTTGATGGTTGGAGAAGTTCTGTTCTGGCGATTTTAATCTTGAAAATGATACATGTAAGTGACCTGAGATCAAGGTGGATAATGAACTGAAAGCTGTAGCTGAAGTGAATCAATTTCAGCCTATGCGTGAATTAGCAGCAAGGTTTGACATTACTATTCCAACAACAGCAGACCATTTGAAAGAAATGGGCAAGGTGAAGAAGTTAGATAGATGGGTTCAGCATGAATTAAATGAGCATCAGAAGAGAAATCATCTCAAAGCTTTCATTTCTTTGCTACCACAACATAAAGGCGAAGCATTTCTACACTGTATTGTTACATGTGATGAAAAATGGATTCTTTTTGACAATTGCAAGCAATTGGCACAATAGTTGGATAAAGTGCCAAAACACAGTCCAAACCGAATATTCATCCAAAAAAGCTAATGGTGGTTGAGCTCTGGTATTATCCACTGTAGCTTCATGAAACCTGGTCAGTCGATTACAGCGGATGTCACTGCAACGAATTGGATGAAATGATGAGGACGCTTGCGATGAAGCAGCCAAGATTAGTCAACAGAAACAGGCCCATCCTCTTACAAAACAATGCTCAACCACATGTCACACAAACAATGCTGCTCAAATTATAGCAGCTGACTTGGAAACTCTCTGCCATCCACCTTATTGACCACACCTTGCACCAACTGACCACCACTTCTTCCAGGCTTTGGACCACTTCTTGCAAGGAAAAATATTCAACTCTCAACAAGCTGTGGAAAATGCCTTTTGCGATTTCATCACCACTTGTGCTCCAGGTGATTTAATAGTTAACAGCTTTGATGCTTCCTTTGGCAAAGAACATGAGAAACCATCATGGTTTTGTTTTATAATGCTTCTCGGCTGCTAGGACCAAGAGTTTCTTTCTGTAAAAGGGTGAAATAGCCTTTCTGGTCTAGCTGCCTGCCTTGCCTGCATTGAGGTGCCTCACTGTGTTGCATGTGATGTAGAATAAGTAAATAGTCCTGGTGTAAGTTTCTCAGCCTCTGCACCATTGACATTTTGAGCTGGATAATTCTTTCTTGCAGGGCAGGGTGTCCTGTACATTACAGGATGTTCAGTATCATCCCTGGCTTCTACTGACTAGATACAAGTAGCAACCTACTAGTTGTGACAAATTCTAGACCCCAAATGTTTCCACATTACCAAATTACCCCTGGGACAAACTGCCCCAACTGATTCCAGTGTATTCACAAACTTGGCCCTTTTCACATTCTTTTAAAAATAGCTTGGCCTTCCCATGATACCAAATGGGGGGCTGTGCCTGCCACATAAGCTTGCCCCTCTAGCTGTGGATGTTGGGCAAAAGCTGACATATTGACCCAAGCTGGGTCAATCATATTCCATCTTCTCAGAAATTGTACTAAGACATAGGAACTGAGTCAAATACATTTGGGATCTTAAGCTATACTGTCATGACAAGTGAGATCAGACTTGGTACCATGGAAATAAAAGCCTTACGCCAGTCTCCAGTTTATGGGAAAGTAAAAATGAAAATCTTTGAAGAGAGAACCAGTCCATACAGAGAAGAATGAGGTAAACAGAGATCAGGAATAGTGTGTTCCACGAATAAAGAAAATGAGATAGCAGCTTCCTGAAGAGTTTACAAATCCATGAAGTCTGGTTGAATTTCCTGTAACACGTTGGCTGAGATTTCTCTATTTTCTTAAAATAACTGCCCTTTTATTTGTCCTGTCTTGATTGTGTTTCTGTTTCTAACCACCTGCTGATTCATAATGAAAATACATAACATGAGCCAATCTCAGTGTCCTTCCGCATATATATCTAGAGGAAGAACAACGAGTCCTAAGCCAAGAGATTTGGGTTCAAAGTCCTGTTCTGTGACCCTAAGTAAGTGACTCATTTCTTTGAGTCCTCATTTCCTAACTGAAGAATTTGAAAATCAACTCACATCTAGCTCTAAATTATGAAGGATAAAGATGTGGAGAGTGATTTATTGTCCCCTTAAACCTTAGACTCATTATTTCACAGTAACATATAAAATTGCCTTAAAGGTGGTGGTCTAGACTTGGTATTAAAGTCTGTTATGCTGGGCTCAGGTCGGTCAAGCTAGGACTTATCATCCATGGGAGCAATGGAACACTCTTTACCCCTTCTAAGCCTCAGTTGCCATATGTTGAAAATGGGAGAGAAAGCATATCTCCCTGCAGTAACCAGCCTCCAAGGTGACTCCAGTAATCCCTCCATGCTGGTCTTCAAGCTCTTGTGGTCCACACTGCCACACTCAATAGGGTTGCCTGGTGGTAACCAAGTGGATATGTCGTAAATAATAAAGTATAACTTCTGAGGCTAAACGTGAAAAATATTGTGGCTTTTGTATCGTTTTCTTGGATTACTTGCTATGAGGGGTGTCAGACACCATGTCATGAGGACACCAAACTCCTATGGAAAGGTCCACATGGCAAGAAATTGAGACCACCTACCTACCGCAATGTGAGTAAGCCGTCTTAAAACCATCCTCTAGTACCAGTCAAACATTCAGATTTTTGATTGCAACCACATGAGAGACCCTGAGCCAGAACTTTCTAGCGAAATTGAGTTCTTGACCCACAGAGACTGTAAGATAATGTTTGCTGTTGTAAGCTGTTAAGTTTTGGGGTAAGTGGTCACACAGCTATAGATAACTAACATAGTGCTTTATAAGACTGTTGGGAGGGTGAAATAAAATAATGCATGAGAAGTGTTCAGCACAGTGCTTGGCGTATGGTGAGCACTCAGGGTAATTGTGTTTGTTTATGGATTTTTCTGAAGTATCCAGAGTGGTACCTGGAATATAGCATGTGCTTATTAAATATTTGTCAAATGCATGTTAGGTATTCTTATCATTACTATCATAACATCATTATTCTATATAGCCTCCATCCAAAATCATTTCCCAAAGGAGCTGGACCCTCAAGTTTCTTGACCTGAAAAAATTCTTTTACCTTAATCTGCTCTAAAAAATTTCAAAATAGAGTTATTTGAAAACCCCGAAGCCAGAAATCTTAGTCCATTTTATGCTGCTACAACAGAATACTTGAGACTGGGTAACTTACAATGAACAGAAACATACTGGCTCACAGTTCTGGAGGCTATACAAGATCAAGGTGCCTATATCTGGCGAGGGCCTTCTTGCTGCATCATAACATGATAGAAGGTGGAAGGGCAAGGTGCAAGAGGGATATAAACTTTCCCTTCCATGATGGTATAAATTCCACCCATGAAGGTGGAGCCTTCATGGCCCAATCACCTCCCAAAGGTTCCACCTCCCAGCACTGCCACAAAGGCAACCAGATTTCAGCGTCAGTTTTGGAGGAGAAGTCATTCAAACCGTAGCATCAGAGAAATAAGAATTTAGTCTTTGCTGAGGGCTGGCATTTGTTTAACTTTTTAGCACTTTGGATGCACCTTATTATCCTGAACCATATTTAAATAGGAAAATACATCACGTATAGCGAACACCTAGATGAACTTCTAGAGAGAGCGATAAAGCCAGCTACTTACCGTCGACACAGGAAGGTCGGTTTCTTGTTGTTCCAGCCACTTTCCCAGGTAGACAGGAACACTTTACTGTTTGTGACCGCTCCTCAATGCGATTCTTGTTACAACATCTGTGTGCTGCTATCACTTCACACGTCCCTCCTTCTGGCAAAAGAGAAAGAATCGGGACACTGATTAGAAATAACTCAGTGGCCATTCAGACTGGTGGGAGTACACGTGGAGGGGTTGGAGAAAGTGGTAGAAATTATAGAGACAGTTTCCATGAAGAATAATTGCTAAGGGGCTCCCTTTCACTATGTGCAATCTTGGAGAAGACACTGCTGCACTTCCAAAGCAACAAAGAGTACCAACGATAGCCCTCAAGATATGACAATTCTGGGCTGTATGTATCGAGAGGCAGTAAGGCAGTGCATGCCTAGAACTAACACACCAAACAGAGATGCTATCTGACATAAATGCATTACATTTGGGGAGCTCTCTCCTGTGTTATTGTTGCATTTAAGATTCTCTGAGCTCCCACTAAAGACAAGCAACTGACACTCCAGTGACATATAACCTGCAGTGGCAGGAAAACTTCCTCGCAATTAGCTCTCCCTCCTGTGGCCTGCCCACTCTCAAGGAGACTGAATAGAAAATCTAATCGGAAGTCATTTCCCAAATCCAGATCTCATCCACAAATGAAAGAAAGAATTGCTGGAGAAACTGGGTATGTGTTTTAAGCGGCTTCTCAAATTGCAGACCTGGCATATGGCTTGACTTAATTGTTACAGCTCATCCAGGCATTCATCAACATTTACTGGTGACCTAATGTATGTCACCCCCTGCTAGGTTCTCAGCAGATGAATTGCCAAGTCTGTCTAAAGGTTGATGAGGATTCAGGTGGGTCTTTCCAGCCCATAGGAAATTAGCTAAGCCAAATCTCCTGGAACACAAAAGATACCCCACGTGACCAGAAATCAGGAACTATTAATAACTTTCCCAACATCAATGTTTGAATTCAGGAAGAATGTTTTTCATTTGACCAGAATAGGTCCCCAGCATTTAGGATCTCTGGCATTTAGGATTTATTTCAACCACTATATACAAATCACTGTGTTATAAACTGTAAGGGATGTATATACATCACATGAACATAGAATATACACATGGACACTTAGTAAACATTGGAAAAAAGGAAATGGGGGGGGAGGAAGATGGGGGAGAGAGAGGAGACTTAAGACACTTAAGACACGGCTTCATCCCGTCCTCTGAGAATTTGTGGAATGCAGTGGTTCTCAATGCAGTGGGGAGTGGGGTATGATTTCTCTCCCTGTCCCCAACAATATTTGGCAAATCTGGAGACATTTTTAATTGCCATCATTGGTGGCAGTGGGGTGCTACTGGCATCTTGCAGGTTGAGAGCAAGGATACTGTTAAACATCCCATAAATCCCATAATATCCAGAAAGCCCCCAAAGACAAAGAATAATCTGGCCCAAAAAGACTAATAGTGCCAAGGTGTTGAAAAACTCTGCTCTGGTATGAAAGAAACACTCACAAAAGTCTCTGATTTTGGGTAGACTAATTCTGCTTCCCTCAATGGGAGGGAAGAGCTCAGGATTTCAAACTGGCCTGTTTTATTAATAGTTTGAATATCAGCTTTGTCACTTACTGAGCACCTCAGTTTCCTCATCTGTAAATTGGAATAATAACAACAGCTGTATCATAGGCTGTGTGAGTACAAACCAAGAGAATATGTGCGTAGGGGTTAGCACTGAGCCTGCCACATGGTAAAGAGTCCATATTGCTGCCTGTGATAAAAATATCCAGTGGGACTAGATATCGTTTCTTTCCTTGTTGATGCCAATCTCCTTTCTGCCTCGGAAATTTTGCAAATATAGTTTCTCCTGGAATACTCTTGTCTATCTCCCATCCCTCCAACCCCCTCACTCCAACACAAATGCACCTGCCCAGGTAACTGTCCTTGGAGCTCAACTCAAAGGTCAATTCCTTAAAGAATTCCGCCCCCACCACTTCCATCATTGTCCATTCCTTGTAGTTGTTCATGTCCGTGCTCCAGCCAAACCATAAGCTTGGCTGGAGTCAGGCTCATTGTCTTCTCCTCACAGCCCTATCGTGGACAGCTGGTACAGGTGCTCCGTAACTGTTGGGTGAATGAATGAATGAATCAGTGAATTAACTAAAATGAATACCATAAGGTAAGTACCATGTTCTGTGGACACAGATGGAATGGGTGACCCATTCCTCTTTGAAAAAACAGGAAGCCTTCTTAAGTTACATGTTGAAAGATGGGGCTTCGACAGGTGCTGATGAAGGGGAAATATTTCACTAATGGAGAGTCTAAGCCACTTTTAATAACAACCCTTTTATTTTAGGATAGTTTTAGATGTTCAGAAAAGTTGTGAAGATGGTACTGAGCATGCCCAAATACACCACACCCTATTATTTCCTATTTTTATTCCCCTCTTATCTTACATTAGTATGGTACATTTGTTATAATTAATGAGTCAATGGTGAAACATTGTTATTAGCTAAAGTCTAGGTTTTCTTCAGATTTCCTTAGCTTTTACCCAGTGTACTTTTCTGTTCCAGGGTCTCTTCAGGGACACTGCATTATATTTAGTTATTTTATCTCCTTAGGCTTCTCTTGGCCATGACAGTTTCTCAGCATTCTTAGTATTTTGATGACCATGACAGTTTTAAGGAGTGCTGGTCAGGTATTTTCCAGAATGTCCCTCAGTTGGGATTTGTCTGCTTTTTTTCCTCATGCTTAGACTGAGGCTACGTGTTTTTCGAGAAAGATCACAGAGGTAAAGTGTCATTCTCATCACGCGATCTCAAAGATCCATACTATCCACATGATTTATCACCGCTGGTGTTGACCTTGATCTCTTGGCTGAGGTAGTGCTTGTTAGGTTTCTTTACTGCAAAGTTATTTTTTTCCCCTCCTCCTTTTCATACTGCACTCTTTGAAAGGAAGTCACTATATGAAGCCCACACATAAGGAGTGGGGAATAATGCTCTATCTCCTTGAGACTGTAGTATCTGTTAAAATTCTTCAGAATTACTCTGCATGAGTGATTTGTGTCTTCTCCCCCATTTATTCACTTACTCAGTCATTTATTTATATCAGTATAGATACATGGATATTTATTTTATCCTGTGCATTGTAATCCAATACTATCTTATTTGTTGCCTAAAATGTTCTAGCTTTGGCAACTGTGAGCTTTCAGTTGGTTTCTATATCCCTTTGACACGTCCCAATTATTGTGGGGTTTTTTTGTTTGTTTGTTTTAAGCACTTAGTTTCTGGCCCTACAAGAATGTTCTAGGCTTATCTTACATTAATATATTTCCTGCCCCAATCCTAGAATCGGCTGTTTTTCTAAGAAGCAGTTTAGAGCATTTAAATAAAATACACCAGAGTAGATGGAACTGAGGTTTCTTGCACATGTGAGATGGGATTAGATTGGAGAGGTCTTCTGTCTCCAGGAAGAGCCCTCAGTGTTGCAATGAGGCATGGGTGGGAATTTTTGGAGCAAAGGACTGGTGTGATCCAGGCATTGCTCTAGGGTAACTGCCTGGCAGCTATGGAAATGGGTACTGGGGAAGTACAAGGTAGCAAAGCAGAAGAAACAAATGGCTACTGCCAAATATTGAGCAGGAAGTGCGAAGGCTGAACTTGGATCATGGAAGAACGTCTCACTGTGTCCATACACACAACACTGGGATTAGACTTAATGGAATAGGGCTAATCACACATTGCACTCTCTAACCAGACACCTGCAATCAAGTTGCTTTAGCTTGTAATTGTCAGCTACAAATACCCTCAGTCAAGTCAGTAATAGCTAGTTCCATATTTCATGAAAATGCCACTAATTTTAAACTCACCACTTGGCTTTACTACAAGAATGGAGCAATATTTATGATTGAAAATAGCACAAGGTGTATAAGAGCTCCCAGGATGTATCTTGAATTTCGTTTGATTTACAGTCAAATCAGCAGACAAATGACAGACACGCCAGATCGCCTGAGCTATTGTGCTGAGTTAAATAACATGACAACCAGGTGGCCACTGGGGGCCCAAAGCCAGTCCCTTGCAGCACTGCTGTTGATGAGCCAAAGGAATCATTCCACGCTGTTGTCAGAGCTCACCGCCATTTGCTGAGCTCTCATGTGGGCGCCGGATGCTACTCTTGGCACTTTACCTACATTAATTATAAACATCCCAGCAACTTCACAGGGTGTTGCCTCCACTTTACGGATGAGAAACTGAGGCTCATAGAGGTCGAATAACTTGTCCAGAATCACACAAATGTGACCCTGGTCTGTTAGACTCCAGAACTCATGCTTTTTGCAACTTGTCCCAAATAGTCATTCCTTGTGGACAAAAAGCTTCCAAAAGGAAGTGTGACATTTGGCTTAGAATGTTCATCGAGGTTGGGGTGTCCAGCCCACCCCTGCTCCCCCAGCTGTGTGTCTGACCTTGTTTGTTACTAGTCTGGCTGTCCTCCCCTTTCCTCCAGGGACACTGGTCACCTTCCTTGCTGGTTATTTGCCTGCACATGCCAGGCACAATTCTACCCCCAACCAGGGTCTTTGCCTCACCTGGGACACACACCCAGCAGATCTCTGGCTCACTCTCTCACTTCTTCATCTTCACTCAAATATCATTTTATCAGAGGCACACTTGCCTTCTCTATTTAAAATAAACCACATTTCCCTCAGCTAGTACTCATGAGCTCCCGTACTCTGATTTATGGCCCCTCGCCTCCCACCTCAACACCTGTAACTTTCAAATATAATAGCACATAATTTACTTATTTATTATGTTATCATCTGTGTGTCCCCCATTGGAATGTAAACTCCTCGAGGACAGCGATTCCTATTCTTTTCTGTATTAAACAATGTCTGGCATATTATTATCAGAGCTAAAAAGTGATGTTAATACATATTTCATTTAATCTTCCAAGAAGTTCAAAGGTAGAAATAAGACTATTAATATCCCCATTTTTCTACCAAGGATGCAGACTTAGAGTAAACAAGATAGCCAGTAACTAATGGTAATAAGAACAGTGTTAAAAGAGTTAATCATTTATATTTTCCTCTGTGCTTGACACCACGGTAGGTACATCACAAACCTCCA